AACTTGGGCACTGTGGTAGAGCATAACTCCATTATGGATAAGATTTTATTTTGATAAATCACACAGTGTTATACAGTAATATTAACTGATGACGTTTCGAGCACTAACTATCGCTCATAATCATATCAACTTGATATGACTCGATGAGTCTACACCCAACACATACAGCAGAAATGACTCAACGCAAATATCAGAAATATGGAAGATATTATTACCGCCGGTCAAATCAGAAGAGGATAATAAATAACCTTAAAATTCTATTTCAATTCAAACACATCACAACATTCTAACAAGTAACTTATTATGACTATAGAAACACTCGTTTTATTTCCCATCTAATTGTAATTGATCAATAACACTCGTATTATTATTATTTCTGAATGTACATTATCTCTATTGATTTTTATTCCAATATCTAATCGATTCCACACATGTATATAAATGAAGGAAAAAAGTTGTGTGAGTAACTTGATATGATTATGAGCAATAGTTTGTGCTCGAAACGTCATCAGTTAATATTACTGTACAACACTGTGTGATTTATCAAAATAAAATCTTATCCATAATGGAGTTATAATGGTATATATTGATGGATTTACATGTCTAAGTCGGCTCAAGTCAGTGAGTCTATGATTTTGTTATCATTTTTGTTAGCTGTGTCTGACTGTGATAATACTGCTGAGGTTACTTTTTTATTGTTGTTGTCACTGCCCTTCCTGTTGTGAATTATTTTCCTTTTGCTGTTGTTGTTCTGATTACTTTATTCCTTGTTTTCCTGATTTTAAGGGAAGCAACCAACAAGGTCACTCCTCTGTAAACTATATTTTAATGTAACAACCCCCTTCTCAGGCGTGAGGTTAACAACCCTACCCTGTAAACAAATTTGGTACAGAAACTTCAGCAAGATAAATCTCTTTGCGCCAAAAGAAAAAGTCTTTGTGGGGACATGGAACGTCCGCACCATGTAAGAGACTGGCAAAGCTGTCCAGATTGCAAACGAGATGAAAAGATACGGGATCCAAGTACTGGGAATGTGTGAAAGCAGGTGGAATGGGAATGGAGAGAATCAAACAAGCCATGGATGGAAAACTTCGACCGGAACAGGCTGCAGTCAGGAGTAACAAGTCATGTATTGATCAAATCGCCACATTACGGATCATCACTGAACAGAGCTTGGAATGGCAGTCACCTCTCTATCTCAACTTCAACGACTTTGAAAAGGTATTCGACAGCGTCGGTCGAGAGGTGATTTGGAAACTATTTCGCTACTACGGTGTGCCACCGACAATTATACATCTCATCCAACAGTTGTACGACAATGCTACATGCCAAGTAATCCACAAGAGGAAACTTACGGAATCCTTCGAAGTGAAGACGGGAGTAAGACAAGACTGCCTACTATCTCCAATGATTTTCCTGATTGCAGTAGACTGGATAATGCGACAAACAGTGGGCAATGAGGAAACAGGCATAAAATGGACTCACACAAAAAACTTGGAGGATCTGGACTTCGCCGATGATATATGTCTGATTTCCCATATACTGGAAGATATGCAAATGAAAAGCAACAAGTTGGCAGAAGAAGCATCAAAGATGGGAAGGACTTCAAGTGAACATAGAGAAAACAGAAGTGACACAGATCCCTGGTCAACACCACCAACAGCAATAACAACAGACAGCAATCAGCATAAATGGGAAGAACCTTAAAGAAACAACCTCCTTTACCTACCTGGGAAGCATCGTTTCAACTACAGGCGGACCTGACGAGGATATCAAAGCAAGGATAGGGAAAGCAAGACAAGCTTTCATTTCTTTCAAGTCTGTGTGGAGATCAACAGCACTCAGCATCAAAAATAAGATCCGGATTTTCAACTCCCATGTGAAGTCAGTGCTACTATATGGATCAGAGACTTGGCGTGTCATAAAGAGCACCTCAAACAAACTACCGACCTTCATCTACAGCCAACTTTTTTCGCTCAATACTACTTAAGATCAGATGGCCAGAAAAGATCAGCAACAGGGATCTCTGGGAGTGAACCAACCAGGAACCGATTGTGCAACAAATAGGCAGGAAGAAATAGAGGTGGATTGGCCATACTTTGAGGAAACCATCAAGTGACATCACTAGACAAGCCCTCGAATGGAACCCGAAAGGGAAGCGGCAAGTTGGTCGTACAAGAGTGAGTTGGAGGAGGTCCTGTGAAGAGGAGATGAAAGCATGTGGGCAGACGTGGAGCCAGGTGAAAACTTTAGCAGAGAACCGAACGCAATGGAGATATTTGGCTGAAGCCCTATGTCTCTCTAGGAATTAAAGGAAATAATAATAATTCACGCTTTTTTTATCCTTTGCGTTCACAATAGAAAATAGGGCTTCATGCTTTAACTCTGAAGTTTCAATAGCAGTGATGTTTTTTTAAGGGGTGAGGTTGCTAACCTCACTGCCAACCTCCGCTCTTTCTTGGGATTATAACCGGTTAAGGGAGGTAAAGGTCAGGACTCGAACTTCGGACCATGTACATGGTTGGCCAGCACTCCACCTCTGAACCACCGACGCCTTGACTACTAAGTACATTAGACAAATTGTGTACAAATTCACTCGTAATCTTATGTGTTTAAATGCTTCAGCAGTATTCTTTATAACGTCAATTATACGTTTTTTAACACGGCGTTATGTTATTTCTTGAATTATTGAACTAAAAATGATACAGTTTACTAATGAAATACTTCACGTCTTTTGAATTAGTCACAGTGTTAATAATAGGTGCCCACTCGTTCTCAATGGCGCAGATGCATCCACTCCTTGTGACTTATAATACCCAATACAACTATATGTCTCTTCCATATTACTATTCTGTTTGCCTCATATCTCTCTTTACTGTCTCTATTTTGTGTTTCTTTTTAATTTCTTCTTCTTCTCTGGCTTTGTGTGCTGAGTGAAGTGTGGCGACTCGAACTGCTGCACATCGGTACAAAGTTCTATGTTGAAACCAGTCAGACAGTGTTAATATAATAGTTCCTTTACTCAGCTCTATACGTTAATTTATCAGTCAATCATGTTTCTGTGTGATTTAATGTTGCTGCCTACATTAATAATTTCTTTTAATCAATATACATTGTATACATGTGGATTAAACTAATTCACTGTTTTTGTTTTGTTCATTTTCACCTTTGAGAAATTCCAAAAAAATATTCAAGTTTATTTTATAAAAAAATGACGTCATAAAGTACACTACACAATTTACATCGACCAGCATGACTCAAGAAAAAAAAGTATCCGCAGAAGCGCATTAAATAAAAGTTACTTTAGGGCATCAGAGCGGTTTTCGTCACCTACCGATATCACTTATAGAACACTTGTAGCTTTTTGTTGGAATGATAAACTGTAATAGCTGGATTCTGTCCAGTAAATATGAGGAGAATTCTGTACTAATAGAATTATATGAGGTTTATCTTATATAGTGAATCGATAGAAATTGAAATTTACAAGTCAATGGTTACCTACCTAGTAAAATGCTTGTTGTGAGACTTCACGATCTTCAGCTTCATCTTACAAAGGTTGTTGGTTATCAATGAAGAAACGCTACGAAATGTAGTCAAAATATTTATCGAACGAACCAATTTAAATAAAATCAAAATAAGATATGTTAAGAATGATATTAGTGAGCGAGAATGTTCAGTAGAAGATATCTTTTCGACAATTTCATCCTCAATAGCTGTACAATCGCTATTCTATGCATTTTCGTTATGTAAGTTAGTGTAGCTACAAGTATTATTTAACTGAATGTATTGACAAAGGCCTCCTGACAGGCATTCTTTATAATTTGAAATAGTGAATTAATTACTTAAAATAGGATCTAATCTTTTCTGCACACGAAGTTTGGGGTTGAGTTAATGAATCAATAGTGTCTAACTCATGCACAGGTGTCGCAGTCTGACACTTCTTTTTTTTACGAATCAGCGTCTGCTAAGTAGATAACTTTCAAAAGAAACTGCATCACTCCGAAAGTTTACCTAATGACTGACCTTTTTTTAATGCTACGTGCTGCATGACGTTCTGAGATGCATTTGGAAAGTTGGCCTGTATAACTGACCACCCCTAATATCTAACAGCAAGCTGTTTGATGCTAAAGTAGATAAAAATACATTTCTGCAACTTTTCAATTCATGAAATTTGTGAAAACAAACACGTAGTTCAGCGAAGACTCTTTTCGGTGAATTGTTTTTCTTTAGCTTTACAACTTTCGAAGACGAATTCATCGATAAAGGAACTTTTCTTCACTGACCAATTATTCACCGTTCTCTTTATGACTACCTTTTAACATCGGTTTAACTAACTCTATCACAATTATTATTCACCGCTTCTTTACTTATGTTGATTGAAAATTCGATTACAAAATAAAGGTAGTTATATTTCACCAATTGTGAATGCTTTCTTGGTTTCACCTAGTTCTGTCTAATCGCCTTTTTAAGTATGTAATTACAAGCCAATCTGATATTTTTACAAATGGTTGGATAAGCAAAAGGAATTACCAATCAACATTTTCCTTCTCGATTGATAAGATTTAATCTATTTAATTCCCTGTCACTATAAACTATTAAAAGCAAACTAATGCTATAACACCTGTTGTTCATAAGCTGTGTGGAGTTCCGTGTTAGATGGTTAGAGACAGTTGACAGGCAATTTTTGTCGACTGCTTCCAACCACTGAACACTGTTTGAAGTATACCGTAGTGGCTAGTCACATTAGCTTGATGATGACGACCAAGACACAAAAGGCTAGAAACATGACATTTGGTTAATTATTCCCTAGTAATCGATCAGTGAAATTAATTCACCAATATTGGTCAGTGAAGAGACACTTCTAACCTCTGAAGCTGTATGCATGACTTCTTTTATGTTCATATTTGTACAGCAATAAAACTCTTGAACTGTCAGTGTTACTATTTCAAAAAAATATTTTATTATCTCTTTCTTTTTTTTCTTTGTTTTCTATTTAACAGGATTCAGTGATGTTTTAACTTCGTTGCATAAATTAACTGAACTGAAATTCAATTTGCCTTATGATTTTAGTATACGTCATTTGAAAGATATTCACGATGCCTTCTAGACGTGTTTCTAAATTTAGTCTGTATTTATTTTCATGAAATTTACTATTCATATTGTTAGACAATAACAACAAAAACAACGACTACTTCTACTACTTTTCTGTGTTCAGTGGTCATTTATAGTAATAACAATAATAATGGTAATATGCATTTGTTTCATTGTATTTGTTTTTGGTCTGTGTTATGTTATCTATCTTGCCGATGAATATAATTCATCCTAATTTTGAAAATTTCATTCCCTTTCAATTGATTTACCTACCACCTTGTATCATGTAAAGTTTGGACTTTATTATTTTCATTCCATTTTAATTATCAACTTAACTCTGTTCCACCTGTTGTGAGTAGTGCCATGCATGTGCTTTCATGTCTGTGTTTGTGTAAAGTGATCTCTGATGAATCATATTATAAATCAACATGTGTTGTTGTTGTTTGGGTTTTTTCGATTATTGTTTCTACTAGAAAAGAAAAAAAACAGTATTTTGGACTGATTACATAAGTATACTGTTAAATAAGATATTTTTGTGAATTACTCCTCGCTAAAAGTCCATATTTTCGAAAGAAATAAAGATAATAACCATTTGTGTTTATTTTGTAATATAAATCTAATTCGATTATTTTGTTTTGTTTTCTATCAAAAAGAAAATTTTTCAATGTCATTCGCAAAAACTGATCAGGTTTAAACAAATCACTAGTTAACAGTACAGTTCTCAAAAGCCAAAACTCATAATCATCTTTCTTCAATGTAAACTGAACCAACAGCAACGATCATTTGTGTAGTGAATGTACTTTCTATGACTAGTTCACATTTCAAATAAATAATATTAAAGTATCGATTTGTAGGGATTTGATTGATTGGTTACAGGATTTCATCATGAGCTGACATCGGTTACAGAACCATTGTAAAATCTGAGAGTATTGAATAGCTGTTTCGTCTTAGTTCAGGACTCTTCATCAGTACTGGGACGAAACAGATGTTCAGTACTCCCAGGTTTTACAATGGTTCTCTAACCGATGTCAGCTCATGATGAAATCCTGTAACCAAATAATACTAACTTTCTCGGTATGGTTATGTTCTGTATAGCTGAAGAGATTAACTGCGAAATTTTCATTATCCTTCTGGAAAACATCTTCAGCTCTTACTTCAATGCGAAGTGAGTTTTTAACATTCTCTGGATAGCCCTGACTGAAGACAACCAATCACAGTGAAAATAAATACCAGTCAAAAAAATCCTGAGTAAAATCAATTTGCTTAGAGTAGGTGTCTCTTGACATGTAGAAATGCAGATAGTCTTATTATTATAAGAAAACGTTTTTAGGTAATAATGAACCATCGACTACCGCTCGTGCATAAAAATGATCCTAATAATATTCACTTTTAATTCTAACCTTCTACATAATTATATATATATATATATATATATATATATATATATATATATATATATTAGTCCGGCATGTCAACTGAAGAACACTGAACAGTGCTCATTAATTTACGAAACTTACTTACTCTGAAGGAGAAATTATTTTTTATCATTTCTATTGCTATGGTGATTGATACCTTTATAAGAAAACGGAGCAATTCTGTTCAGAGATCAGTGTACAAAGACCAAAATAGATTCGAAAACTTATTGACTTTCAAAGCTGTATTCCATTTATTATAAAAAAGAATCTTGCATATGTGATATGTTCAAACCACTAAAAGACCTGTTTTGAAAGAACATATTCGCCAACTGATATCAGCAATAATCCTGAAATATCCATTTTCATAAACAACCCCTCAAAAGTGAATCTGATAGATGAAATTATTCAACGCATTATTTAACATAAGAATGAAATTCTCAAGCATACAATTAATCTATCGATGAGTTCATGATAGAATACTGACGTTGGTGACCACAGTATATGCCTTCACCAATTTATTTGTTCTTTTCAAAATAAGATGCATTAAATCAGCTCTCTATATGTATTTTGTAGTACTCTTTCTGTCTGCAAGGTAAATAAGTACACCTTCACAAAGCGTACTTTTGTTGATCAACTCATTCCAATGGATTTCTTCAATGACGCATACTTATTTTTAAATTAAAAAAATTATTGCATATTATGTAAGATCCTACCTTCCATTGTACACATACAGCGGGCAATTTAACAATTCGCGATTGATGGTGCTAGTAACAAAAATTATAAAACACCGCCAATGTTGAAATTCCAACCTACATGCTTATTCAAAACATTATTTACTAGATGATCTTATCAACCTCTCTAAAGCTGCTGACTTAAATCTCAATTAAATAAAGTAGCATACCTTAGTCCGTTAAAAAACCATGGTAACATATTGAAATCCTGATGACCTACATATACTTCCTTATGATGATAGGATTAACCAACGGTCAATGACTTCATAAAACATTACCACAGCTTCGTCCTTTTTTCAACTTTATCTTACTCCCGTTATCATAACACATTAATGTAAACCCCAGTTGTGGACAACAGTTGATTATCAATCACAAATTGATTAGAAATATGAATGAATGAAGGTCAACAGAAAGTACAATAAATATAGATAGATAATGGATAAAAGAAAGATTAAGTACATTAGAAAAAGTGAATTTGTCAGGTTATACGCAATCAGTTGAGAAAATAAAATGAGTGAAAACGATTTGATAACTATGAAAATGAAATAGTCTCAAAGAAAGGATTCTCTTATCTGAGATTTCTGTTTATTTACCACGTTCCACAACGATATAACATAGCATATTACACCTCTAAACAGTATATTCAACCCTCGATGAGTATAGCAGTGTATCTTATCACCCTATGCAGCACAGTTTGATGGGAACTTAAAAAATGAAGCTTTTTGACCGTTATTCCCACCAGAACTGATACAACTTTCATGATAAGTGAAATGATTAACACAAATAAACGTCTCATTTATTACACAGGGGGTCATTAATTACAATTAATAAGGATAAAACAACTTTTGATGGAATTAAAACATTCAACATTTAGTAGTAATGGATGTACTGAACACTTTTAATGCAATCAGTATATTCTTTACACTATGCATTTTCCATTTAGCAGTCCTACAGAGCAAATCTTTTGTATGATTCTATTTCTCAAGTAGTTAATACTTTTTGGTAAGGTTTTGTCACGAACTGATATCAGTTGGAACATTATTGAAAGTCAAGAAGTACTGGACGCCTGTTTCACGATGAAATTTAAGTTGAAATACATCCAATCCCCCTACAAACCAACACTTGAAAATGAATTCACCGCTCATTAGTAACTTATTAAGGGATAGATTTCCTGGTGTTCATCAAGTCGAATACTCGCTAACGGTACTGGTTGGCATTGCAGCTATGTGCAATCTCAGTGACTGAATGGTCAGTAGGTTGACCTCGTAACTCGAAGGGCCAAGGTTCCATCCACAAGCACGCACTACCGAAGAGTATTAGAACGGGACAAAACAGCTGTCCATTATTCCCTGAATTTTTTACTGATATAGCTTGCTGCAATAAGTTAAGTCTCTACAATAACCCAACATTTGAAAAAGTACATTTGAGACTGACGCATGTGACATAATAAATATATTGGTTTCCAATTGTTTGATTGGTTCCAAGTTCGATCACAAATCGAATTCAGTAAGAGAACCACTGAAAACCAGGGAGTACTGGACAGTTGTTTCGCCCTTTTTTGGAACTCTTCATCGGCGTACACCTGTATTCTCTAGTGGGAAGTCGTAACGAAAGGGTTCCACAAAGTTGGGTGTGAAAACAGATGCTCAGCGATGACATTGGCTGCTGGTAGCGCTATATACATCACGAACTAACAGAAATTAAAATCGATGGGTCACTGGATTCTATCCCAGTGGCAGTATGGCAAACATCGCAACCTCTAAGGCCCTGGGTTCGATCGCAGAAGGTGCCTACCGCCGTATAGTCTTAAACAAAGACAAAAAAGATGTCCAGCACTTTATGGTTCTTCAATTTAAGTCAGTTCGTGATCACACATGAAAATATATCGGTGTCTTTTCTCCTTATAATCAATGTAAAAAATAAGCTACTGCTCCGCATATAAAATAATAATAATAACTGTATTTCATATTAAACAATTTAAAAAGAGAGATTAGTACAATTGTAATGTATACACGTAGTATATTGTTGTAGAATTCAAAGGCAATGTAAGTTACAAAAAAAGGTGTAGAGGAAAAACTTATAAAAAGTTGGCTTACCAACTCTCCTCAATCAATCATTTTTGTTTTCTTCTGTGATATACACTATAATATTGAATAATGTTAGTTATATTTTGTACTGAATAGAATTTAGCTCCTGCCTGTAATTTAATGTTATGAACCAAATTATTATCTCCCGTTTAATGTTGTATTCAAAAAATCATAATGCATGAAGTACATACATTGAAAAAGTGTATTGATGACATCAACTTTCTCTCTCTCTCTCTAAGGCACATGAGCACGCACACACATACACATGCATAATACAACATTATATGAATAAATATAAAGCTTAGATCTGTTTTTATTTTCAAAGGCTGAAATTTATAAAATCATGAAAAAAGAAGACCAATTAATTATACAATCAGACTGAGTATACGAAGGAAGTTCAACAGACAAGTGCATAGTGTAATAATGATATAATAATAATAACGATAATAGTACAATATAGAAAATATATAAAAAAGAAATTAGACAAATCATAACAGGCGTACACGGTATTCGAATATATATAAATATTCAAAAGAAAAAATGGAATCAGGAAAAGAAATCTTGGCGCAATAAGGCTAATAACTTTAAAATCAATAATAATAATAAGGTCATATGTTAAAGGAGAAAATTTTATGAGTACAAGAAGAGGAGGAGGGCCGGGAGGTTTAAACTTGCAAAAATAAATACTGAAAGAAAGCAGGATGTTCTAGGTAATATTATTACTATTATTATTATTAGTGTGAGTATTGTTATTGTTATTATTATTGCCACTGATGATGCTGTTATTCTGAAAGTGATCAGATAGAAATGTGGAGGAGACCTGGAGTAGGGAAGGGAGACGGACAGGCAGTGATTCAGTACAAAATTTCATAATAATCTGTAACCAAGGCTTAACTAGATCCTTCAAATGCTTTCACCAGATCCATTACACGTGAAACACGATTCTCAGGTTTTGGTTTAGTCTGCAAACAGTAAAGGGGAAAACAAAACGACAGCGCTTAGTGAATCGAAAATATCCAATGCATATATCTATATGCCTATGAAGTGAGAAAAATCAATACTCCACAGTTTTGCTGGCAATATGCACACACACACATACGAACAAGCATTTTTATTGCCTACCGTACTTTCATTTATGCTTCCATAGTTGGATACCTCTATACGCAATCAAATACGATTTTTAAAAACAGGGGAAACAATGTAAGTGTCTTTATGCACTTTGTTGATTTTGATTTTTTTTTTATGGCAATGAGATAATAGAAGTGAACTATAAATCACGCTTTATCCGAGCCAGTAAAGATATCTTGATCATAATAATAAACTGAGAGTATCATGCAATGGATGATGGTGATCATAAATCAAAAAATACAAGTTATTCACCCCCAATCAAAATAAAGCGATTAATCATATCCACTTACTCGTGTAACGTTGTGTGGCACGCTAATTCGGCAAATTTATATATATAGCTATGATTAGACTTCTTTTCTTGTTTACTACTTCAATTTTAGGATATGTAGAGTTGATTATAAAAAGGCAAGATTAAAACTAACATATGTAATTCTTAAGGAAGGATGGAAGGAAGAAGAATTGCATTAGTTCATGTTACCACACTCCATACAGTGGACAAAAGTAGACAATGGCCAGAAGAAAAGAGATTCAAAGGAAATATAGTGACCAGTAATATTCAGGAGAAAGAATAGTAACACGGAGGAAAAGAAAATTGGGGGTTTAAACGATATGGGCGATCACAAAGAGTGAGTGCACCTGAGTTATTGACAACGATTTTGAGCCATATCATTAATAATCTGAAGCCAGTAGTTTTTAGAATCCCCAGGATCCCAAAAAGGCCGTCTACACCTCCCTCTATGAGACTCAAACCAACTGTTAAATACTTGATGGATTGATGCAAAGTTTCGGTCTGACCACTTATAACTCTTTTTTCTAAACCAACCTAGTGTCATCTAACTTTGTTCGTCGAGAAAGGCTAGGGTGAATTATCTCGAGCAGGATTCAAATCCCAGAGGCATTGGCTGTAATTCGATTGCTTAAACAAATGATCAATATCTCCGCGAAGGAAGAAACGAACTCGAAAAAAGAAAGTTCTTTATTGACTGAGTAATGTTTCGATTAGCCAGTATCACTGAAAACGAAATCCATGTTTAGGATACCAAAAAATAAAATAAATATACTAAAAATAAATGTATGTTTTCCTCTGAAGATTACTTTTTTAAAATTTTTTTGATCATAGCTTGATTCCACACCGTATTTTTGGTACAAGTATGGAATTTTCAGCATGTTATATCGGTAGCCCAAATTTCGCAGGCCAACCAATTAATATCAGGTGTAGGTTGGTAGGAGATCGGACCCCGAGCCATTTACATGGTTGGCGAGAGTCCTAACCTCCGTACTACCGACGCTTCATCATATTGCACTAGTGAATAGTGATTATTGTAACTACGATATCTTGCCCTAATCATAATAGCATGGGTAATAGAGCTTTCACATATTAATGTAGTTTCTATGTCGATAAATGCTCAGTGGACACGCACCCATGCCCCCCTAAAAATGCACCCTACTACTTAAGTGCTATCTAATTAATCACCCTATACATATATATCCCATGTTTGGTCATGTGATTAGTTTCTAGTTCACTGATAGCCATTACTGAAAACCGTATAATGATCATCTATAAATTAAAGTTGTGTCTATAATACTTACCTACTACATTTACGCAGGCGAACACACAAATAATCATAAGTATAGAGAGAAGAAACAATAAGCATGCATAGTACTTTATCATCTTTATATTCATATTTCGTTAATACCAGCATACATGATAATAAAGGTTTCAAATGGCGAATCACATGCAGTGCCATAAAAGAACTAACCCACTTTACTAAATACACATTATCACCTGGGTTTTTTGACATACTGGTATACAAATCGTATATAAAACTTGAGAAATTCAAAAATGTACATGCAAAACTTATATATATATATATATATATATAACAAATACGCCAGAATTTAATGTCTGCGTCCATTCTAAAACATGTAATGTGCTTAAAATGTAAATCTATAAGCAGGTGAGTCCTATCAGCAACATCATCATAAAATATAAATCTTTGAAGTCATCTTTAAAACAAAAGTATCTATTAAGTTCAAACGGATTTTTGGTTGCCAAGATCAACTAACGAATCACGAGGGAGTACCAGGTTCGATTGTCAACCAACGTATGCCTAAATCCTGACTAGCCGATAGTAAACCCAGGGGGAGAAAAGGAAGATTCACCGTGAGGTCAGCAACATCACCGTTACAAAAAACTTCAAAAGCTTGAAGCCCTATTTTTCAATTGGAATGCGAGGAAAGAAACAAAAAAAGTCAACAACAACAACAACTGGAATATAACTTGAAATGAGATGCGCTGAACAACTGTTTCTTTCAACGTGAAAAATATTGTTTAGCAGTGCAGGTATCTTTCAACCAAGGTTAGAACAGCCTAGTAAATAAAGAAATAAACCCGACAAAAAATTGCAAAGAAAAGAGAAAAAAGAACCGACAACCACATTTGTCTTTACATCGAAACTTGACTTTCTAATATGAGATAAATAAGGCAAGGGTATTAGATATTAGAAGAAACACTTTATCAGTAGAATTTATAAACCACAATGACGAAATCTCAGCACGGAAACAGAAGGCTCGTTTCGCATATGCCAGTAGACGTGATATCCGGCTATCGACCAAAGGACGTGTGTACTGCTTAGCAGTCCGCTCCGTCCTCCTTTATGGCTGTGAGACCTGGCCATCGAAAGTGGAAGACATGAAAAGGCCGGATAGCTGTCTTTGATCATAGGTGCCTTCGTTCGATCTCCTGTGTGAAGTGGAATAATACGGTAAGCAATACTGAGGTTAGGCATCGAGTGCTAGATAGGTGGGAGGGGAAATCAATAGACGAGGCTGTGAAGCTACATCTACTTCGATGTTTTTATAAAAATTTAATGGGTTACCTCTGTAAGAGGAACACCAGGGCAAAGTATTTGTCTTTTTAATATAACTATTATCATCGTGAACCAAGATCACTTAGAGATTCACTGTAAGTCAAGTATAATTGATCAGGTGTTTCGTCCTAGTTCTTGTACCTTCCACAACACACAACCATGACCACATCGGCGATCGAACCCAGAATCTTCTGGTTAAAAGGCGAGCCTGTTGACCACTCAGTCACTAAGACTGGACTGCTGGCGGAGCTATATATTGTTGTTAGATAGTTTGAATTAACCAGTAGGACGTCCTTCCTGACCTAGGTTTCGTGCTTGTTGGAGCTCGTCGTATCTGTAGTCTTGAAGGAACTCATATGTTATATGAGATTCGAATGCGGGTCACCTAGTTCGGTAGTAAGAGGCATTACGAATGAGCTATTCGTGCTGAAGATTGACCTACTACAGGACTGTAATGGATACTTTGATAGGATATTAGACAGACTGATGGAATTCAGCCTACACCGAACGAAGGCCTAGACGGATTACATTAGCTACTAATTAATATCCAATCAAAGGAGCTCTGTATAATGAAATGACAAGAGTTAGGATTCATGCGCTACAGAATTATGTTCAAGTAGCAGAATGGTAAACAGGTTCACCTTGTAACTTGAAGATCTTTGAGTCCGATACTTCGTGGAGTCATGTACACGTACTGCTGAACAATCCAAGACAAGGAAGAAATACAGGTTATTTTAATAGTTCTCTAGCTAATGTCACTGCGTGATGAAATCGATCCTGAAATCAATCTAATCCCTACAAAACAACACTTTAAAATTATCATAGAATAAAGCGAGGGAAGCAACGGAAGAGAGGGAAACTCTAGTCTTCTATGTTAGGCAGTAATTTACTGGTCAAAACAATCAATTTGATCTCCACCTTATCTTGTTTCATTGAACCTTAGTAATATATGTCCTGAACATCATAAAAACACTACATATGTGTATAACATATGCATGGACTTTACCAAGATGAATTAACCGCTGAGTAATTAAATTATCTTGATGCAGGTGATAAAGACTGTTAGCAAATAAACTAAGGCCATAAGTTCATCTACCTTCTAATCGGTTCACAATTTGAAAATAAATGCATACTATTCATTCATTCATTTATTCATTTGTTCGAATAAAATGTTACAAAAAATGAATTAAATAGTTGTGTTAATTTGCGCTAATTTACTTATTTCCTATTAATTTGTTTTAATTATTGACTACAACAACAGACTGACATCACAAAAATTACCATACAGTAGAGGATGTGAAAATTGGTTGGTTACAACTCAGTAAACCGGACCATGTTTTTCACATGCCAGGCTATGAGCCACAAATATTGTGTGCGAGGGATGAACAACATAGTACCATCCAGTTGCTCAGGCTGAAGTAGGTGGGCCAGGACTCAAACAAACGACCTATTAGTCGAAGGTCAACTTATTAAACCAATATGCTACATCTTCACTGGATGGGATAGACAATTTAGACAAAAATCTAGCGTTTCCTGTCATCACATTTCATTCATTATATTCTGCTAAAGGTATCAAACAAAATGGACAAGAAACTTGAAAATGTACCAACATTCTCAACGACTAATGCTTTCTTCACTTTATCTATTGAATTATTGAATGCTTGATCAACTTTCTGTTTTGAATATGAAAACGTAGCTTACGGAAGGTAGAACCCAGTGGGTGCGTACTGCCGATGATTCCCAAACTAGGATGAAACAGCTGTCCAGTACTCCCTGGTTTTCAATGGTTCTCTAACTGATATCAATCCGTGGTCTAACCTGAAATAACCTATTCACTCAAACATCAAACTAACAAAGAACTGGATAATGCGCCCAAATGATCTCACAAGAAGTTGTAAAGATGAGGCTCAATGACTTAATCACTAACCGGACTTTCGGACAATCGGTCACGGGTTCTATTTCCGCCTACCCACGTTTGTTCAGGCAACTGAGTATTACCATTAAATGTCATACAGTAAGTGTTTCTCAAATTCTGTTCAGGGAGTCAAGCTCTAACAAAACTACAAGAAATTAGTCGTACCTTCGGTAACCTTGTTTTATATTTCCTGTGTCAAGCAGTAATTCACGTGGCTCCTAATCTCAGAGTGAAGCAGGATAATTTTTCCCAATTTAAACATGCGACATAATTTCACCATTAATTAAGAATTAGAGGGAAATAAGAACACGACTTCACCTAACTCCATTTTGTCCTGTTTGAAATTTATCAGCTGCATGTACCTGGATCCCAAGTGAGTGATAGTGTCCCCAGTGAGACTAGATACCGACACCCACTATTTAAAACTCTCATGGCTTTGTGGATAAGACTTCGGTGTTTGAAACTGGAGTCGAGTCTCAGTAGGAACACTACTACTCAATGGGAATGCAGATACATCCATCTGACTAGTCCCGAATAGGACGAAATGAGTATCCTGGATTAAACCATTGGTCACCATCAACCAACGGAATGAAAATCACTATAAGAAAGATCATGTCATGCAAATAAATGAAATCAATTAAAAAATTCATCAAACAATTATGCATAACTGAAAGTTATTAAAAAAAATTTTTTTAAAACTCCAATCACAGAGATTGTCTACTATAATTATTCATGAAAAACTCAGCCGCAGAAAGGGAGAATTATATCAGTAAGGACAATCAAATAATGCATGATACAAGCACATATCCCTAAGGTACACAAACACACACACACATTTGCTAGATTCTGAAAAATGCCATGATGCAAAGAAACAAAAATAATAACACACCAAAACACCTTGAATTTCTTCCCACTTCTCTACAGAGCTCATCATTGCTAAGGAACTTACGTTCATCAGTATCATCCATTAACTGTGTTTTTGATGTACACAGCATAATGCATACATTTGTTTTAAAAATAAGAGAAAGGATAACAGTGAAAAAGGTTAATATTTGATTTAATAACTGTGCTTTGCTTTATTATCCCCGTTAAACAATTTCAAGAAAACAAAAGCATTTCCTGAGAACAGCATTACATATGTTTGTCAACAGCTGCCTTTGTATTGGAGATTACATGGCCAAAAAGGATTAGCAACAAGGGACTCCGGCAACGAAACAACCAAGAACCTATTGCCTAATATATATGCTGAAGGAAATGGAAGTGGACTGAATACACGCTGACAGGACCGCTGAATGAATGACATCACGTGCCAGACAGACCCTCGAGTGGGACACGAATGGGAAAAAACGAGTTAGGCGTCCGCATGTGATACGAAGACGGTGTGAAGAGGAACTGAAAGTTTATGGGCAATAAGGGACTGCAGAGAACAGGTTGAAATAGAGATGTGCTGCTGAAGTCCTATGTTCCAAAAAGAACCTGAGGAAATAGTATATCACTTAAAGCTTGTCTGCTCAGTCTAATTAAGTACACTTCATAGAAGCCACTTGATTTCCCTTCAACGTCATATTACAAAAGCTTACTTCTTGAAGTACTCTTTGCTGTATGCATAATTATACTGTACGCATTAGTTGGAATGAAAATATAATGTAGGCTGAAGGATAGTTGATACAACTAAGGAGAACCACTAGTGAGTTGTTGCTGAAATTTTCTAAAGACGTTAGGTCTTTAAGAGAAATTGAAACAAATGATGAGATTAGAGGATGAAATCACGCTAGTAACCATTTCATAGGATCGTTGACAAATGTAACCTGTTATCATATACACATTCTTGTCTATGTTTGCATAATCTCCCATGTTGTTTACGTTGGCTAGATCATTAAGTTCCCAATTAGAAACAGATCAGAATGTTGAAGAAATACGGACTGATACATTAGGGAATATATATATTTATATGACATTGGTTAAACCCTAGTGATAAATCAGAGTGCTTTTGATGTGGTTGTGTTCTCTGAGCTGGATAGTTAATCTGCGAAGCTTTCATCACCCTACTAGGCGACATGAAGTATGCGCTGAAGATGGCACCTAGTAGAGCGATGAAAGCTTCGCAAATTAACTATCCAGCTCAGAGAACACAACCACATCAGAATCATCCACCTGAGCTACAAATCTTCTCCATCATATCTAAATCAGACTGTCCATTACAGTCCTACAGAAGGTCAGTTCTGAGCCCAAATAGCTGACTGGTGACGTCCCTAACTTCACTACTAGGTGATCAGGAGAGACGGGTTTTCTACGAGGTTGTAGGGACGTCTCGCTGATGAGTGCCAACAAACACGAAACCGAGGTCGAAAACGGCTTCCTGAAGGCGGCGTCTAACCACCCAACATCAATTCAGAGTGCACCGCTATGACAAGCCACTTAGGTTGGTGATCACACTGCAAACTTGACTGATAGAATTCAGCCTGAATGAACACCAAGAACTAGAAGCACGACATTGGTTACTCCATTGTAACTAATCGATATATATATATATATCGCAGGTTACCACTATTCAGTCACGTAAAGGTATCTAGATTCATTCATGCATTGCAAAATTTATGTGCATATGAAGTGCTACAGCAAACATATGTGTGCATAAATTATGTAAAAAAAAATCTGTATGAACAAGTTTAAACAAATAGAAATGGTTTTTGAATGCTCAGTATTAAAAAAATCCACCATAGTATCCTAATTGGGTGATAACATAAACACAGTTGACAAATAATAAATGAGAATCTGAAAAGCTAAAAATACAGTGACTTGGAGTTGCTTTACATATAAAAAAGGGTTTATTATTTTGTTAATAGAAGTTAGCACTAGAATCCAAGATGCCGGTTTCACCATACATGGGACGACTCATCATCTAGATGAATTGTGAGAAGCGATGAAACACGAACATGATACTCAATGCTTTAAAAGCCTATGAGTTACTCACTATGATGGCTGGAGAGCTACGAAGACTGTGATTGGTTATTTTTTTTATTTATACTTATAGTTTCTTAAGACTAATCAATTCTATCAAACAATTGAAAACACAAAAACAAGTCGTCATGTGATCTAGTGCAGTCATCCGCACACACAACCCCCCCCCCCACACACACAGAGGGAGTTGATTAAATTCAACCTACAAAATAAATCATTCTTATAAATAAAATCATGCAGCAGTAAACTGCATTGTATTTGTTACTGATGAGACGCAATTGGTTAGGTGGTTACACACTTACAAATTTGAAGAAACCTAAAATATCCAGGTGAGATTAGAACTTGCAACATTTATCTTTTCAAGAAAATAATATATAGCCTGGGGTGAAGTAAAGTTCTGTATGTTGATCTAAGTAGGAGAAATCAAATTATTTTCAGGAAAACCAAGCTACCCATTTCCGTTGATCATCATAATCAGGTTTTGTAACATGCTCACGGTGATTAAGATATATCTACCACGTCTCCCTACCATTTTTATGCAGAATGAAGAAATATCATATCATAATTAAAGTGCTGCTGTTGTTTCAACTTAGTTACCCGGAAGGGATATTTCATATACCAGGTTATGGGCCAGACTTTATTATTGTATGAGGGCTAATGATACTACATCATTTGTCCAGGTTGAAGTAGGTAGGGCGGAAATTGCACCCGCGACCTACTGGCTGTAAGCCGAATGCTTAAGCCAATGTGATACATTTCCTAAATTGAAGCACCCAGTCAGTGAGTCAACTTGAATATAGTTCAGAACTAGGTGACAAATAATTAGGACAGATATTGTGCAAGGAGAGAACAAATGCTTAGAAGCAGATATCGGCAACTAAAGACAATGCTGATAAATATTGTTTTTTTTTAAATAAATAGAATCGGTTACTAATGGCTCAACTAGGGTAATTAAATATAACTTCAACGAGATTAAACGCTTCCCATGAACAGATATTCATTCATGACTTATATACTAGAGAATATCTTCTACAACAAAAAGACGAATGAGAAAGAGAGATCCAGTGGGTTCTTCCTTGACACACTTGAACCACAGTTTTCCGTTAAGACATTTCCTAAAGCTGTTTAGATTCTGTGTAAACCAAAGTACAATTCTAGGCTAGAAAAAGACAACGTCAAGATGTAACACCGACTAATCAGTGAATCTATTAACTAGATAACTCTGACTTTAGGTACTTCATTCGTCTAAAGATAACCTCATCCATAAGTTATAATTCATTAGCTGGTCACCCAACGATTAACTTTCTTAATCACTTAAGACAGTGAATTTTAAACGAATTGGTGAATATTTATCACGAACCTCTATGCTAACCAGTCATCATACATCATAACAATAGAAACTTCATTCTGAGATTATATATATATATATATATATCAACATACCTGAATATTTTCACTGTGCTTTCGAAGGAGAGTTATCGGTTGTGGACTTGGACTACGTGAATATTTATTGGCAGTTGTTTGAATATCCAACAGGACAGGTTTCTTTGTAATAGGCAAGGGAGAATTATTAACACTTTTCTTTGTATCATCAGATTCATGATCAGCGTTTTCTGCTACAATTGATTTACACGGAATGAATACAAGTGATGGTGTTAAATCAGCAGAAGAAGAAGAAGAATCCGGCGATAAGTTCTCATTATCTTTGTTATTATCACTGTGATCATTATCTAATTCATTATTAGTTACAGGTTTTAATCTGGCAAGTATTTGTGGTACTTCAATTTCCACAACACCACCACCACCCCCACTGCCACTAGATGGAATGAACATAGAATGTGGACGAACATGTAGACTATCATTATTAGTTGAATGATTACACTGCAATGATGGCGGTGTTTTATTATCTGACTCATTGAATGAATTTAATTTGATTCTTTCAAAGCCTAAAGATTTTCTTGGTGGTTTTATAGGTGTTGGTGTGGTTTGATTTAAGCCAGCTGTATAATCCAGAGGTATGAAAGACTCTGAGCCTCGTTTTAAGGAATCAGATTTCTGGGAGGATTGAACACTGAAATTATTTGAACAGAAAAGAAAAAAAGAAACACGGCTAATGACAGTAATTTCAATTGATTACAATAACTAATATCAATCTAAAGATATCAGTGGTATAGCGAATTCAGAGAAGAAAGATCTGAGTTTTGATGAATTAATATGCCATCAAACAATAAATTTATTTGATACAAGCACACAGTAATACAGAATTATTTACCGATGATATTTAGAGCACCATTTTCTGCGCATAATCATACCAGGGCATTCACGTAAGTTCCAAACTTGGTTCACATAACCCCGTTATTTCTTATTCTTTGATTTTCCTGATAATTGATTATATTTTCCGTATCTCTGGTATTGGTGTTGTATTATTCCTGTTGCACGCGTTAAGTGCAGACTCGGTGAACAAAGATTCACTGATCAACCTCTTCCTCTGTCTACCTATGCACTGCGTTTTAGAACTGCATGTGTGATTGCGTGTTAATGCGGGTATTGCGATTCGTGACTTTTTCTTCAAACTATTCATTCTTAGGGAGTCAATCATTGTTCACTTAGCTAAATTCTTATGTTCTGATAATCTGACTGGCCTCGACCAACTAGTCTGACCTATGTAGTTGACTTCATTGTCATTATATGGTATTTTCTAGATTACATTATTTTGTCCAGTTGTGTCTATAGAGTTCTTTAACAGCAACGCCAATACCAAAGATCTAGGAAATATTACTACCATCAAAATCAAAGGATAAGAAATAATGGAACTATGTAAACAAAGTTTGCAAGTTATGTGAGTGCCTTGATATGACTATCAGCAATGAATTGTGCTCGAAACACGTCATCAGTAAATAATACTGTATCTCTACGTACCTTTATCAAACAAATTTATTCTATGGTGGAATTTTACTCTGCCACTGTGCCCAAGTTCTATCCTCATATCCATACATAAATATGCTTAAATTGTTTCCTGAAAAGCAAAATAATTTGACTATGAAAGTTCATCAATGGATTGAAAACTTTTAACCTAGTTGGGAAATCTAGTATCAACCTTATTACCCTCCAACCAACGCTAAACTCGTCACTCGCTTCCTCTTCGGGTTCCACTCAATGGCCAGATCAGCGCATGACATCACTCAGCGTTTGCCTAGTCCATCTCCCTTTCCTTATGAATATTTGTTGGGCGACAGGATCTTGGTTACTAGAGCTTCTTGGTGCTTATACTTCCTACCTAGCCATCTAATCTCCAGTATGGATGGAAGACAGGTGTTGATAAAAGCTTGCAGAAGGCTTTTGTTGATGCGTCAAGTGTTTGAAGCGTACTGAAGCACTGTCTTGACATTAATGTTGGAAATCCGAATATTCTTTCGTATGCTGATTGTAGCAGATTTTTAAGACATTCTTACTTCCTCTTTTGCAAAATCATCAGATGAAGGATCGATTAGAAATTTTATTTTTATTTTATTTTTTTATTTCATCAGTCGTCTTCCTTGTTGCTAATGCCTCTAATGCCTTAAATATATCAACACTTCAAGCAAGTACGTGACTGATTATGTTCGAATGCTGAAATTTCGCATCCCATTAAAAACCACGTAGAAATAATAGAATCTTATTGAAACAGTGTAGTAAATGAACAATGCTAACTAGAGTTAAGCTTGAAACAGTTAATTACTGATTTTATTTTGCTTTCCCCTGTAGTTTTTCGAGTGATGCGATTTATTCATTGAAGAAAAACTTACACCACTATTTGTTCCACTTGAAATATTTTTCTAGGCCTAAAGATGCAACATGTATGATGCTACTGCTAAAAAGCGATTGAATAAAAAAAGAAGTCACATGGAGTTACTAAAATCTTCTTGCTGAAATTAAATCTACTCAAAATTAACACACTTCAGAATATCATATAAACAAATTGTTTAGGCTGTTTAACTATGCGCTCTTTTTGACACACCGCAAACTTCCTATCCTCTTATAAAGTCAACATTAACAGTTGGGAACCACTGAGAGTTCTTATCGGACTAAAACATATAGAGTTTCATCAAACCTATCAATGCCTATCGCAGAGTAACAACAATAGTCAGCACTGAGTATCAGATTACACTTTTAAAATAACTATAAATACAGTGATCACATTTCTACATTCATTTTAATATACTAAGATTGAATGAATTTTCCATTCTCTTCTATTTTTAAATGTGTCAGTATGAACCACATGATATGTTTACTTTTACAAACCTCATTACGTTCACTATATCTTCTCTCCAAGAATTACTATTTATTTCAGTTTAGCCTAAAACATCTAAGTTCAATAATCAATAAGTTAATTTTGTTTTACTTACATACTACTAGTGCATAATTTAAATCATACTCAACAGTATTTAAATTAGATGAATTTATATTAATGTACACATGTTAATTTAAAGTCTATTGTAACACTTAATTTTGACTTGAATATATTGATTGATTGATGTGTCTGTTTTCTAATTTTATTAATCATAAAAGCGTATTTCCTGTAACTTTTCCCTTCTTACTTAGTATCATCTTTTTCCTCATCTTATTTCTATGCTGTTAATTAATTACTTTTCTGTGTTTTACAACAACTATAGAAATCTGAAACTGCTTAATTATAAAACCAACACATAACATGGAACAGATCTGCAGTTGTGTTACTCTGAAACAGTAAACGAAAAGGTAGTGGCTAGTAAAAATATCACCACAATTAGCAAATCTGTGTGTAACAGGAGAAAGAATAATTAAGTAAAGGCTAGAGAACTTCGAATAGGACTAAGCGTAAATAATCAAGTGTCAGTTTGAATGGTTTTTACACTATTTAACAAAGAGTCTTTCACCAACTTTTCTATGTGGCTGGTAGCTAACAGTCAGAAAGCTCTTATTTTTACGCAACCTAAAACAATTCCAGCTTGATATCTTCACGAAGGAAGGTAATGGATTAAAATATCTAACACAATTTGCAATCAATTAAGTCGCTGAAGTCTCAGCGTCACTGGCATATATATGTATATATATATATATATATATCATGTAGTTAGAGAAGGTAGGTGGTAAGGTTCCAAACATAGCTCCTTGAAAATACTTGACTATAACACCTCTGACAGTCGTCAAGGCAATGCTAACAATACAATTTAGTTTGATGGACAAACTTCACCGCAAGTAATTATCAGAAACGAATCTTAGAGCAGTGACAATTGTAGATAATCAGCTAAGTGTATCCGTGTAAAACTATCCTGGTTTATATTTCTCAAAAGATTCAACATAATAGGCTCAGCACAACATAAAATGTGCGTCGGTGGTTCAATCGTGATATGTTCGCCAACCACACAAGTGGCTCAGGGTTCGATTTCCGGCTAACACACTCGTAAACCTCACCTAGGTTACTAGGTGGCAGTAGTAAGCCCGGAGAAAGAGGCGACGTTGAACGTCAGACTAGCCACCTAACCCGTAAAACCAACACTAACGCTACTGAGAATTCAGAAAACAACCTAAAACCCTATGTTTCTACACGGAGCGCAAAGGAATGAGAGTGAGAGAGAGATAAATTAAAACTCGACCATAAACGAGGTTGAAAACACCTACATCAGAAAGAGTACTTCCCATATATTTATCTCAGTTATTATATATTGATAAAATGTTTTTTTTTCCACAAAAAGAATTCAAAGAAATTGATAAGCTGAAAAAGATTATATCAAATTTCAAATTAACCCGATACAATGTACTTTAAAAATATCGTATACACTGAGAAAACAAAACACATAAAGGAGTATGCGGAAATGTGAAATGCTGAACTAACCTTTCTCTCTGACTTTCCCTTGTTACTACTGGAGAATTAGCTTGACTTGACTTCAAATTATCATGTGTTGATTCATCAGCATTGTTTACATCTGAAACATTTTTCACATCTATGTATAATGTATCAGTGTCAGATTTCTCACTGATTTGATGTCCATGTTCACCTTCTTCGCTAATAAGACTTAAATGAGGATTAGGAGTTGGAAGTAATGACGAATCATTAAGCACATCAGTTGATGAAGGGGAAAAGAAGGAGATAAATTCAACATCAGTGTTGTTCGACTGTCGGTCAACAGTTCTTGATGGTGGACGTCGATTACGAGATCTACTGACGGCTAATCTATGCTGTAAACTAATTAAATCTGAAGCACCAACTGATGAAGGAGTTAAATTGATAGATTCATGTGTATTAGGTGTTGTTAGTACAGATAAACGAGTATTATGTTGAGAAGAATGAGGACTGTTTGAACTTTTTTGAGTCGGAGATGAAGAGTCATTTGAAATAAGACTGTCTGAACTCCCGGTAGATTTATTAACTGCAGGAACTTTAGGCGGTCGATCATGACCAGGACGATTCTTAAGTTTTAAGTTCAACTCCTCCTAATCATATGAAATGAAATATAACACTTATATAACACAAAAGTCAACATGAATAAAATTAAGGATTGTCTAGTTAAAAGATTTTGTTGAACTGATTCATTCACTAGCTTTACTTATTTCAACAATAAAAAATCATTGATCCAGTTTCTTAGACTTGATCTGATAAGAACTGATTTGTTCAATAAGAATTTGAAAAATTCACCTTGAAAGTGATGTATTAACTGAACTGATTTCTACGGAAAATAAACTACAATTTTATAAAGTCCAGAAGTGAAGAAATCAAAATGACACTTTTACTCCCTAATTATGATGATGATGATGTGAATGACCAGTTTACACAGAAACACAAAACTGTGCAACTCACTTTTTTTCAAATTGTTAAAAGGGGAACAAATACTGCAGACACTTTATTTGATTTCACTGACATGATGGCCAGGTTTGTCTATATCGTAGTGATTCAACGAGGCTCTATGTCAGGAAGGATACTTGGACAGCAGTTGGACTAAATCAGCCATCGTCAGTGTAAAACTTGTTTACAGCATATTGGGTGTCTAAGGATCACAGTCAGTTTAAAAATGACACCTCATTCAGTAAACGTTTTATCAGATTGTTTCCCAGAACCACAAGTCTTATTGATTAACTCGTTCATTTTCATAGCACACTCACAGAGTAACGGTAGATGACGGGAGACTTAGTAAAGGAATGTTTATTAGTAATTTGGTATCTCTATATAGCCAAATTATGAATACCTCATCTCCAACGCACCATTTGCACATATCTTGCGTGTTGTGCTACTTCCGGCCTTCATATTGTGTTTCTTTGTGTTGTTTTCACGTCTCCCACGTATTTCCGCAACGCTGTATCATTCAGTTTCTCTGACATCAAATCTATCTCCCTGCCACTTGATGTTTTGTAACGACGGACGTCTATTTATAGCCTATTGATAAATGTTATCAGTAACACACGCCACACCAGGAGTTTTCTTTACGAAATGATATGCCTTATGATTCTGAAATTTCCCTAGTCGAATTTATGACTATATTCACACTGAGGTGTAGCGTAATCGAGAATTCCACATTGTGGCGTTATTTGATGTCTAGTTGCGCTGTGCTGTGCAACAACGACAATTATACTGTTGAAATAGATTTTATGTGTATGACAATTTGTCTTTCTTTTCTTCACTTAGTTCATTTTCGTAATTTTTTGGGTTAACGAGAAATACAAGGAGAGGAGAATATGTCAGACATTAAAATGCTATTCATTGTTTTTTTATGAATTCGCTTATAATTATCCACAAGAATATATATATATATATCACATTCATTTCCTCATGAAGAGCAGCAAAACTAAGACAAAATATGATTACAACACATACTCGCCTAGTTATACATACTCATAGATGAAAAAAAAATCATATCATTTATTCTATTTTCCATGGTAACAGACAACAGTTGATTACGAGGTTTTGAAAAAGCAAAAATCCAAAGAATAATCTGTCTAGTGCAGTAAGAGGCGGTGACATAGGTAAACTTACTCGAAAAGCAGAAGAATTTCGGTAAGGTGATAAAACCTCTCGACTATGCGATGATTGTGGGCTAGAATCATCATGCGAATCATTCGGTATATGAACTGCAGAGGAAACTCGATCGCTTTTTCTACAAACAGAAAGAGTCAAGAGAAAATGAAAAGCATAAAATATAAACAAACCTGATAACAGTGATATTCAGTTGTTAACAAGAAATGAAAAAAGATAATTGGTTTAGTTACTGACTAAGTGATACCCCTAGACCTAAGTATTAGGTAAACAGTTTGCCTGCTTAGTCGATTTAAAGAAACACCCAAGCATTTCACATACTTGGTACGCCGTAAAACTTTGAAAAACCTAAGGTATATACACTTATGTGATTGCTGATAAAGATGAGATGAAAATGCAGGACTCGAAGAAGCCAGTTTCTGAAATATCAGCTGACCGACAACGAGACCCTAATGTACACCGGGTCACCATTTCACTACAATCACCACTGAGAATTCCATTATGGGTAAAATTTGTTTTTATAAAGTCTCACAGTGTTATACAGTAATGTTTACTGATGACGTTTCGAGCACAATTTATTGCTCATAATCATATCAATCATACTTGATATGATTATGAGCAATAAATTGTGCTCGAAACGTCATCAGTAAACATTACTGTATAACACTGTGAGACTTTATCAAAACAAATTTTACCCATAATGGAATTATACTCTACCACAGCGCACAAGTTTTATTCTTACACCACTGAGAATGCCTATTAATCTTGAGTATAAATGAACATCATATATACAAGCATTGTTATATAACCACTTCAACTGATTGATCATCACCAGGTTATCAAAACTATGATTACTACAAACAACGCACAAAATATTAAAAAAACAACACACGTTTATTGAATTATTTTGTGCATGTGATCAAAAATGAATGATTGCGATAGTAAGATATTTTTACAAGTAAATGAAATAAATTCAGAAAATGTTTTTGATAAAAAATCTCTCACGTTTCTAAACCGTCTTTAGTTTAATTAAATATTTAAAATTTTATCAGGTTTCTGCTAGGTGAATATATACACTATGGTTTAAGGTTATAAACAATCTAATTAGTACTACATACAACTGTGTCTTTATTTAGTAGCCTCAGGTGACCATGATAATGCGTAGCCTTTACGTAAAAACTGCTAAGCGTAAAGGGATAGTTACTGAGGTTATCATCGTTTAACACTAATTAAAAACTATTCTAGGGTGTATGTAGTTAAGGTATTGCAATAAAAGCGGATGACGAAATGAACGACCTTGAAGAGGTTAGTCACAGTAAGTCATGCTGATTTAAGTTGAAAAAACCGATATATTCATGAAGAAAATATTTAAAGAAGTGTAAAAAGATTACCAAGGATAACTACTCCTAGCTTTCCTCACAGCGATATCATCAGTGTTTATTCAGCAAATGACCTGGAGCTGGAATTAGGAGACAGGATTTACGATTAGGTATAAGACATAGCAGGTTAGGATTTGGTGTTAAACACTTTTCTGGACGAAGCCTATTTCTTACAAATATAATAAATTCCATTTCACCTTTATAACTGCATTATCACCTACGCAAACTTTGCCTCAGACACTTTAAGGTCATTGCTCCTACTTTGATTCTCGTGGATCACAATATTCTTTAACTTTGTTTATTCAAAATCTCCAAATACATCCTGATATCAGTCGTTGACAATCAGGAATACTACCGTAGTAGCAATAGTAGTAGTGGTGGTGGTGATGACAGATACATCCATATTACTTTTTAGAATAAAAGATAATATATCTTAGCGTTATATTCAGTTACCAGAGGAAGGATTATATTACCGTTCGAATTACACTTATCACAGAAAGAATTAATACTTAAATAATACCTTTTTAAGAAAGGCCAAACAAATCTTAACACTAATGAAAATCTTTACCCTTATATTAAAGGTACACATATTTAGATCGATTGAGAATGACTGCAAATCTACCTTACTTGCGATTATTTGTTAAATTTTAGAAGAGAACTATGCAGGTACACCAAAAACATAAAATCTACATTCAGTGTTGTCTGATTAATATCACTGAAAATTTAACGATCTACTTGTTAACTATTTATCGAAAAGAATTATGATATAAGTGGTATCAAACAAAGAACTTTGCAAAAACGTTCAGCCGCTTAATTTCCCACACACCATATACCACACTACGGTAAAGAGGAAAGAGAAATTCACAGCACCTATACAATGAAATGAAATCTACGCGAGAAAGAAGAATAAGTATGTGGGGAACATGAGAATTTAATGGCATCAGGAGTTCATAAAAATTGAATGAAAACGATTTCCAACCATATGACCAAAAGCCGGAAACCACTGTTACCTCGAGGGACCTAGTAAAGCAGTCTACGCCTCCCTAAGTGACTTAAACCTATCATCAGTCAGAGACTTCATGGACTGATGCCATGTCTTGTTCCATTTGATCACCTCTTACCCTTTCCAAACCTTATCTCATGTCAGCTAACATTCCTCAGTGAGGAGTGATGGCTCAGTACGCGTAATACGTATCCTAGCCATCTCAATTAATACAGCTTCACGACCTTATCGACTGACTTACCCTCCTCACCTAACGCTGTCTAACTTCAGTACTACTCACCATATATATATATATATATATATATATGCAGAAGACGGTAACGAAATCAGCTAAAAATTGTAGGCAGATTAATTACTTCTACAGTAAAAACCAGCTGGAATATTTTAACTTTAACTGATGGTATTTAATACTAATATCTACTCATCATTTATTCCTGAAAGCTTTACAATGTACAGCAAAAGTTCATTGAAATTCACCTGTGAGAATCATAGAATATTACTAATTCTATTAATAAATTTTAACTACCTTTCAAAGCTTTCACAGCCTTAGTCTATTTTTGTTATGTTTATAAGCAACATAGTTTTTAATTAACTGACTGATAATACCCTTGAATCATTAATCTGTTTTTTTTTCTCTGTTTAATTAGAACCATAACTTTACCTCATAATCACCACCATCAGTCAAGCAAAGAAAGTATGGCATTTGTAAATTTCGTTGAACAAACTATGCAGCAATGTAGTAGCTGATGACTAGCAGTGGAATCCAGGACGCGCATTTCGTCCTATTCAGGACTCATCGTCTGGATGTGCCTGCAATCCACTGTAAATGACGGTGCTCCCCCTGAGGATCAAACCCAACACCCATTGTTTCAAACACCAAAGCGTTATTCAGTAGCCTACTTTGGCTCAGTATTATGTGCCGACATATCAACAGAGGTCGAATATTTCACCAATCATCAACAGAAAGAATAAAATTGACTCAAACAGTCAATAATAATTAGACTGTTTAGTTATTTTAGTTAGTTGCAGATAAGGTAGATAAAGTTTATTCAGTCTATAAATGAGATAACAAGAAGCTGGGAGCGGAGTTCATATGTGTAGGTTTATCAGATATAGTGTGACAGATAGAAGAAACCTTAACTACCCTACAATACTTTCTTTTTATCAAAAACTATAATTCAAGACAAAATGAATGTATGTCTAGGTGACAAATCCTAGATTAAACGAAGTCCACATCTTGAATATCACTCGAACAGTTATTATTATATGCATAGGGAGAGGGCTAAATTAAGGGAACTACACAACTACAACGCACCTAACCTATCGGTCATTCAATAGAGTAAAAGCGATATATATATATGTATATATATATATATATATATATATAATACTAAATAAATAAATAAGTACACATCTCATACACCAAGTTACAAACTAATTCCATGTCCAGTCCATTGTGTGAAAAAATAAAATGTATTAAACGACAAAAATAATAGGCCTGTAGAAATAAGAATCATGCACCTTAGAAATGTATGCATTGAAACAGGATAACGATACAGTATATATTGAATGAATAAAAATAACATTAACATCATTTATACTTATAGGTATCAATTGTCAATGTTGTATGAACTTTATCTCTGGATAAAATGATATCTCTATATCAGTAAAAACGATAATGCCAGTTTATTTGAAGTGATAAGAAGATAAATAGTTCTATCCAGAAAAAGGATTATTAGATTTGTCTTTGAAAAGTGTGCAGTATCAACCTAACTGTTTTATTTCTCCACTGAAACCCACACTAAACGATAACAACAACTATGAGTCGGTAGATAGGGTCTTTGAGATATTTCCTTGCTAATCCTGGAACAACTGAATGAGGTACGGTAGATATTGAGGTTGCTGTAGAGTAAGGAATGCGAATCGAAAGACAACTCTGAGTGCTTTAGTAAGTGAATCGGTTGTAAAATCTGCTACTTGTATTAAACCACTACCTTCTTTCATGATGTTAGGCTGAAATGGTCCTAGTGTGGATAAAAGTAAGAAGCGGTCGTAGCAGAATTTGAGACTAACTGTTATTTTGTTTGGTTAGTCTCTATCCGTCAAACAGTGTAAAAAACTATTCAATAGGACGCATCAGGATTTACACTCTATCATAATATGAGGAAAAAAACGTTTGAAAGACACAATTAGTAAAGCTGGGCAGCCTGCTTAAAACTTCGGCTACCAAAAAACCTCCATTAATATATTGCATATAATTTCTCTTATTCACTTAGTTTAAATCTAGTAAAATATGACCTTTTACAATATTGTTTACTCTGGCGAGTATTTAAAACATTAGCAACCTGCCGATTCTCAAGTTTCTACTAAACGTGTGAAAAAGCATTATCCTCGATGGCAAATTATCCCAATACATGGGATGGCTGTCCCTGATTGGTGTACTTGGTTCACAACTAAATTCAACCAAATGCCAAGAGGAAAAGAAGAGATATCATGATAGATTGGTTTGCTCTTCAGGTCAAATAGAACTGTATCACACGATCTACTGTCAATTAATCTTTTATTTGAAGATCTTGGACGAAGGGAAAATATCATGCAATAAACTCCGCTGAAAATTTTGTACATTTTATAAACATTGTTCAGAATAAAGCTATTATTATTGAGTTTCTGTGGTTATAATCTAAAAAGCTGTCCAGGCACAAAAAAAAACATTTTTTAACTGACTACTTTAACAAGTGATAACTTTCTAGCTTACGATAAACTTCTTTGGATCACCCATAGATATTTATATATCACATACCTGCCTATGATTACTACTACTTACTACTACTACTATAAGACACAGAAGATATGCACTTTTCTCATTCATAAATTTTACTTTATTTTTTTTTAAAGAAACTGAAGTGAATTTTATCGATGAAAGGAGTAGTCTTCGTTCAGATATTGACCTTTATTTCGTAAAAGAAAAAGTACATGTTCTCCTAATACAACACCTTTTATGCAACTATGATCTGTATATATGTTGTAATACGCACGAACAAACCACATAGGTTATTTACGATTCAATTACGAATAATTTTTTGTTTTGAAAACTATTTATAACTGATCAAGGAGACTGGAAAAAAATGTGACCTCTTCCTACACACATGCATACATACAAACGAATACATTTGCTATTTCAATTTTGGCTTATTTTCCTAAAGAAGTTTAAAGCAGTTTGTTGAACAAACAAACATTTAAATTACTTATTATTGATATTGTTTTGTATATTTTTACAGTTTACTCGAAGTTTAGTCTTTGTGAAACTATTAGATTATATCTTAGTTTAAATTCATATATAAATAATATTTTATACTACTGAATATATGATTTACACGAACATTGATGAACTGAATTTTCAACAAAGTGCAACAGTTCCAGTTTATCACACTCCATATACCACACAAAGGTAGAGAAAAAATTCAGAAGAGAAATATGAGAATTTGATTGATCTGAAACATTACAACGGGTGAATGTATCTACGCCATTGACAATGATTTTGAGCCATAGCACTAATAGTCCTCAACCACTGGTTTTCAGAGTTTCAAGGATCTCAATCAGGCAGTCTATACCTTCTTATGTGACTCAAACTAACGAACTGTCAAAGACTTTATGGATTTATGCGTTGTTTGATCTAACTACCTACAACACTTTTCCAGATTTGTCCTACGTTGCCTAACATTCCTCGACGAGGAAGGTAATGGTTCAGTACGCGTAACACGTATCCTAAACATCTCAATTAATACAGCTTTACAACATATGGTTCACACGAATTGATTAACTAAACGCTTACAAAGTCAAAAAAGAAACATTTCAATGAAGAGAAAAAGGCAATTCGATAATATAGAAGAGGCATACTTGAAGCATCAGGAGTCAAAAACCTACCTACCTACCTATCGCCTAGGGAACTTTTGGGGATCAATCTTTTCTTACCCCGTTCTTTCCTAGAGTCGGCAGGCAACATTACCTGACTTGCTTTCTTTACACCCCTATTTGCCAGCAGTACAACTTACACTCTGGTGGTAACTGATTTTGTCCTAATCCTTATCCAAGAGACTCTTTTGGAATGGTAGCAATAGGAATGCGCGATCGCTATTTCAAAGTAGAACCTATCTTCAACTATGCAGTCTTAAATATTACAGAACGTGCACCATTAGAATTCGTTGTTATCTACAAATATAGTTGGTGGTAATATCTAGAGGCCCACTATCCTACATAAGACGAAATGAAGCTTAGAAACTTGATTCTGAAAATCGAAAAAGTGCAGTCATGATAAATATTTAAACAGCCTAAATGATATTCTGGTTTTCTAGGATAAATATAGTTATATAACACAGACGAACACACACACACACAAGTGGTAATATTAACAAGTTATGCACCGTTTACTATTATATATCTGAGAATAGTCGAGAGAAATCGCTTACATCACAACACTAATTATGTGTTGCACTTAGAGTTTTAACAGTTGCTAAAACTGTTACCAGTTAGTGAATGACATTGTCTGTACGCTAGAAAATTTAAACACACACACACAAGCATACCCACACACTGAAAAATATTGATTGCAGGTATATGAATTAACTTGGTTAGTTATAAATTATACTTTCACTATTCACAATTTGTTTTATAAAGTGAGGTAGCTGCACAAAGTTGCACATAAATATTCCTGATTAATACTAACGGTGAGGAACTCAGTTACCTGACAGCAGACTAAAAATCCTACTCGATATATATGACGGTATTTGATGCACTACCCAGGTTGAATAAAGTTTAAATTTGTAACCCAACAGTTAAAACCTGTGTTTAAACCGAATAATAACCATACTGTTACAAACTAGACAATATCTTACTACATACTCTGAGAGGAAAGTATCTACATCATTTGAAAGATTAATGACTATTGTGACAATGATAATGATGTCAATTTGTTTATTCACATAACTGACTATTCTGGTAAGCTTAACATATTCACTTCCTGATGCTAAAGTTGAACAACTGCAAAAATAACCCTTAAGTAATCAATACTCGACTATTTTTTTCAAAGTAATAGAAACCATACCATTCAGAAACCGATGGCTTAGGGCACTGTATTAATATCAGCACTATATTAAAAACTTAGTTAATTTACGTCACCTTAGGAGTCGTCTATATTTGTTACAATCAAGTCTTAATAAAAGCAATAAGACGAATAATCCAAAATACTCAGAGAAACTTCGGCTAAACTAATCACTTGAGAATGCTTCAACTTATATTATTCATCAAAAACAAGCTAAATACTTAAGTGACTTACTTACTTACTCGTAAAATACCGCTAAACCTTACATTAGGAACTATGTTTACGTAACTGACCTTCACCTATTGGGTTACAGATTTTAACGCACCCTCAACTTCTGAAATTCAGTTAACTAGAAATTAATCCTAGTACACACGAATACAGAGGTGATTTATTGCTACAGTTCAAAAGATGAATTCTGATGTACAGCTGAATGGAACCTACTTCTGTGTTATGTTATATGTTACTTTTAACCTACTATATAATTTATCACTCCTCAGTTTCACCGACATACTTTTAAAATATATACGAATTTATCAACCTGAATAATTCTATGCCGAAAGCAATATCATATTATATGATAATTACTTGAGTACTTTTAAGCAGAAGTCTGTTGACACCATAGATAATAGCAGTGATAATGGCAAATCATTTTCACCCATAAAACTGTGAGAAATATTGAAAAACGCGTCTGTGATGTAATTAGCTAAACAATTTATAAATTATTAACACACAACACTGCACAACAAAAATAAGTATTAGGAATAGAGGTAATATGTTGATAGAACAAATGCCAAGTTATAATTCCTGTTAAACACATGTTACAGTTAATAACAATAATAAATGCCTACACGTATTACAAACGGGTTATAGATATATGTATATATATGTAGCTTTATAACACTAGTTGAATTATAAAATAAAATTATAATATTTAAACTTTCGTTTAGTAAGCATTTGATTAGTTTCAAAAATCAGCATCACAGTTAGCAAAACCACTGAAAACCAAGGAGTGTTTCGTACTAGTTAACCACTACTTTACCAGCTAGCGTGCAATAATGACAACACAATTCCTAAACACAAAGAATATACAACAATCGTTCACACTATCAGACATAGGAAAACGCCTACCCTGGATGTGCACACCTCTAACCCAAGACAATGAATGTTAAAGTGATAAATAAGTGCTTTTAAAATAAAGCTTTAAAAAAGAAAAGCTGGATTTTACATGGGGTTGGATTAGAATAGGACAGTTTTAAGTACTTACTTCATATTGCTATTCATATTAGACAAATTAAATAGATAAAAAAACAAGTGTACTTGATTAAAACTCAAAGATGACAAAGACAAACAAAAAAGTAGTCGATTACTTCAATACAAAATGATGAGTAATGTTATATTTTGTGAACACAACTACTTGGGGAAATTTCAAAAACTTTTTATTCATTTAAAACATAAAATTTTGTACAGCATGGACAGGAAAAGATACATTGAGCAGAATAGATAAGAAAAAAAGCAGAGAAAAGAAATTACAGAATAATGGAATAATTAGATGAACAAATATTAAAAGAAGCATTCATTACTTTACGTCTCCATCTTTATAACACAAAGAAGAATAAAGAAGACTGTAGCGTGTTTACCATATCTCATATCACCGCAAATCATTGAATTCCACGAACTATACACCGCGTCAGAGAAAAAGTTGTGATGAACCAACACAGGCTAATTAAATAAAACTATTCATCTGTTTCACAGTGCTGAGTTATGAACTGACTTGTGTTTGCCTCTTTAAATCATTCGAAGTACTAGCTAGAATAGCGAACACTATGAGGACTGGTAAAATGACATTTGTAATATTAGCCAATGTTCCGATACTACATTATTATTGTTTCCTTTAGTTCCTAGAGGAACATAGGGCTTCAGCCGCACGTCTCCATTGCATTCAGTTCTCTGTCGTTTTCACCTGGCTCTACGTCTGCCCACATGCTTTCATCTCCTCTTCACATGACCTCTTCCCTGTCACCCCCAGACGACCAACTCGCCTCTTCTCGTTCGGATTCCACTCGAGAGCCTGTCGTGTCTGTCTGTATTCGACATAGAACTTTGCACCAATGTGCGGCAGTTCAAGTCGCCACACTCCATGTAGCACACAAAGCAAGAGAAGAAAGTAGAAGAAATGCATAATATAGACAGTAGACAGGGATATGAGACAAAGGAATAGTAGTAACGAAGAGCAATATAGTTTCATTGGAAATCATAAGTCACAAGGAGTGGATGCATCTGCGCCACTGAGAACGATTTTGAGCCATATCACCAATTGTTTCCAACCATTGGTTTTTACCGTCCCGAGGACCCCAACCAAACCTGTCGTGTGATGTCACTTGATGGTTTCCTCAGAGTATGACCAATCCACATCCACTTCTTCCTGCATATTTGTTGCACAATCGGTTACTGGTTGGTCCGCTCCCAGAGATCCCCGTTACCGATCTTTTCTGGCCATCTGATCTTCAGTAGTATCGAGCGAAGACAGCTGTTGATGAAGATCTGTAGTTTGTTCGAAGTGCCCTTAATGACGCGGCACCAAGTCTCTGATCCGTATAGTAGCACTGACTTCACATGGGAGTTGAAAATCCGGATCTTATTTTTCATGCTGAGTGCTGTTGATCTCCACACAGACTTGAGAGTAGTAAAAGCTTGCCTTTCTTTCCCTGTCCTTGCATTGATATCCTCGTCAGTTCTGTCCGCCTGTAGTTGAAACGATGCTTCCCAGGTAGGTAAAGGAGGTTGCTTCTTTCAAGTTTCTCCCATTTATGCTGATTTTTGTCTGTTGTTGTTGATATTGCTGTTGGCCAGGAATCTTCATCACCACCTCTGTCTTCTCTATGTGCACCTGAAGGCCTATCTTTGATGCTTCTTCTGCCAACTTGTTGCTTTTCACTTGCATATCTTCCAGTTTGTGGGAAATCAGTCATGTATCATCGGCGAAGTCCAGATCCTCCAAGTTTTTTTGTGTGGGTCCATTTTATGCCTGTTTCCTTGCTGCCCGCTGTCTGTCACATTATCCAGTCTACCGCAATCAGGAAAATCATTGGAGATAGTAGGCAGCCTTGGCTTACTCCCGTCTTCACTTCGAAGGATTCCGTGAGTTTCCCGTTGTGGATTACTTGGTATGCATGTTCTGATATAGCAACACTTTTTGAATGGTGATCACCATTATGCTGGAACATACAATACTGGTATGTACTCCAATTTTAATAGTTAGACTGACATTGCGAAGAATCTAAGCGTTGGCAAGGTGTGGATGTCACTCTGACTTTGTGGAAAATACCCATTGGAACATTAGATTGAGAAGAATAAGAAGTTCAGCAAAGATATCTTTTCGGCGATTTCATTTTCAAAAGCTGTACAATCGCATTTAAATACATAATTTTACATGGAGACAATTCTTGTTTGATTCTACATAATTATGACAGCGAATAAAAGGTGATAATTATTTCCAACTAGATATGGTTATACGAGAGGCTTAGAAACAAAAATTACGCAGGATTAGAACGGATATCAAGTGTGTAAAATGAGCATGAAAATTATTATTTCAATTTTGTATCCATGCTCATTTTTACACACTTGATATCCGTTCTAATCCTGCGTAATTTTTGTTTCTAAGCCTCTCGTATAACCATATCTAGTTGGAAATAATTATCACCTTTTATTCGCTGTCATAATTATGTAGAATCAAACAAGAATTGTCTCCATGTAAAATTATGTATTTAAATGCGATTGTACAGCTTTGAAATATCACTCTGACTTTGAATGTACTATTCACTCTTATCAATCACAAGTCTAACCCTCCCCCCCCCCCCAGAACTCTCAGAAATACTGACATACCAACATAAACTCTACCAGTGCTTCTAATAGTATATGTGAGAACAAACTTCTATCCATCTTCCAAAAGTAATTCTCACATGGTCGACTGACTACTGCATTGTTTGTATGTCGATGCAAAGTATGGTGATATAATCTGCACACTTAAAGTTCATTTTCTCTTTTTAGAGGTAACATATATGCAGCACGACCGTAGACCAATTCCAGAACTGTGACCAGTAGGACAGAAAATACTAACAGGAAAGATATATGCTTGTTACAGCATTACAAAATCGTAACTTTACATCGTGAATTCACTAAAGCTGGGAACACCAATTATCAGATTTCATTTTATAAGATGAATGGTAATGTGAATGTCATAAAAATAATAGATTCAGAGTTCGACTGTGTAAAATTATGTAATAATGGGTAGTTCAAAAAGAGAATAGAAAACTGTGAAGTACTCAGATTAAATTGAATTCGAACTCATATCCGTCTTAAAAGATGATTGTAATAGGATGCTCTTTATAGGCTACCCATAGCTTATCAGTAATGGCGACTTCTTAACTGTCCCTCATCGTATAAATTAAATCCTTTCTCGGCATTTCATAACAAAGGAGAATTCGCTTTGAGTGACCATAAAGCCTAAAAGTCGTCTGTGTGAGGTCAATCATACACGACTTTTAATAAATAAAAAAATAAATTTATTGTATTTGTACATAAATCATCATATTTATGGCGACAGGAAACCGTAATGCAAGACAGAGTGTCACTCATAGCATTGATTTTCTTTATGCTTTGCGTCGTATAGTCAAGTAGTACAACTAAAATGGTGATCGCTCAAGAAAAACACAATGTTGCCTTTATACTCCTTTAAAGTGTAGACTGTTTACACCACAATAGTAGCTGTTTAAGGTTGCCCTGTCGTCTAAACAACTTTGCTAGTATGGTAAGATAATATAAAACAATAACCCTAGTTAGCAAAGTTCACTGGGTCATCAGAAACCTGACTACCAGCTTTTGGGAAATTAATTGTCAAACTAGTAGAAAAGATTTATATGCACGGTTCACTAAATCCCGATCGCACTATAGACAACATACAGAATGTCACTGAAAGCTCTGTGCTATCCCAAAAACATTTCAGCTTAAGGAAAGTCAAGAACATTCACATCCTGAGCTAAAAGCGTTTCCTTACATTCATATATCATTCGGGAGTAACAAACTTCGACAAATCCGAAACTGGAAGACATTAACCAATCGAAAAAATACCTTCAGAACACAACTTTTGGTTTATGGGTGTTTATGAGTCATCAGTCAAAAACTTTAACACCTGTAAAAATGTTACAGGGAAGAGAAGAGGGTCATGGCTAAGAAATTCGGGACGCATGTCATATACCCAACCATTATCCAACACTATTCGTCAGTTAGTTAGAACTCACTTACCCCGAACGGATTTTTCATTTACTAGTATATGAGGAGTGATAGTACCGCCCAGTTGTCCAGGCTGAAGTAAATGGAACAGGACTCCAAATGGGGACCCATTGGCTGTAACTTTAGTGATTAAGCCAATGAATTACATCTCTATAAACGATGCTGACTAAATAATCAATTACCAATCACAAGTTATTTATCGAAAACACTTAGACACAAACACATGGACCACAGACATTAATACCACACAAAACATAGGCGAAGATAAAAGCTTACATAACAAAGATTCAGATGTTTTTGGAGACAAAAGCTATACAACACACTAAATTAAAGTCCAACATAGTAAAGTGAATCCTTACAACAATCAAAGCGAAACTAATTGGAAAGAGACTGAAGTTTAATTCAAGAAAAATATGTTATGTGAAATTTTTTCATAACATTAGAAACAACTCTAAAACGTAAAACTATTATCCCTTTGGCAAGAAACAAACCAAACTACTGTTGAGTTAACACAAAGAAAGTGTCATTCCACAAACAAACAAAATCTGTATACTTGTGACAATGAGTCAAGAAGACTACATTAAGGCAGAAAAGGTATTACAAGACAACACATTCGATCGAAAGCTGGAAGTATGCAAAATGAAGAAACGCATAGGTAGTTAGGTAGAAGTAAACTGGACATGATTCTGAAAGGAGAAATAACGAAAATGGATCAAGGGGCAATAAGATTGAATTGAATGACCAAATTCTACTTTGTACTTACAATCACTTAAAAGTACACAAACTGAATCAAGTTAACTATTTCCCCAGAGAAACACCCACAATTAATTTATCGGAAATGTTGAGACATCTCATGTATAATTTAAGAAGCTTAATTTACTCAGCTACACAATTTCTTGGATAAAAAGAAAAACATCAAGTTGAGTGAATAAAAGAAACTGTGATATCGGTTAATATAACAACACTTTATACTTTTCAAGACCG